AACACAAAATCATTGGGGGCTGGGCAGTCATCCAGAAATGCCTCCAGCCTTCCTGCCTGCAACACGGCAGGACTGAAGGGTCTTTGACACATCCCACAAACCCCTCTGGAGCAGCCTGAGTGTATAAAGAAAATGCTCCCCTTGAGCCTCACTGTCCATGGATGTTTCTTCTGGCAGCTCGCAGAGATGGGATGTCACACTTGGTGGCCAGTGGGGATGAAAGGGCCTTTCTTTGGGCAAAATTGCTAAGAACCTTATCCATTCTGCACACCAGTAACTCATCTCTGCTTTCTTCCACCTCCATAGCCTGGCTGGGACACATGGCCCCAACTTCTCACTCAGTTAGGGGGTGCTCAGGCTGCCCACACTTTTCAAACTCATCCTGGAGCTTCACTAGCCTTTGGGGATGCTCCAAACCAAGACTTGTTCTTGGAGAAGCAAGCCAGGTGAAGTCTCCCTTGGCTAGCTGCCTGGCCAGGGAGGGGGCCCTCCTGGCAAGAAAATTAGTCGTTGCTCCTTTTGGTGGAGCAGCTTGGAGACCAGAGCTCAGCCTGGCAGGACACTGATGCCCTTGTTTGCTCTGCAGTATTTGCCAGGGGATATTTGCTCTGCCATGTGTGGGTGGAGGTAAACCAGAGCAAGGTGAGGGCTCCTCACCACCTCCCTTCCCTGGGCACCCTGCCTCGTTTTCTGGTGGCAGCGTGGCAAGCCCCAAGCACCCTGTCCTCCATGAAGCAGGTGGGGACACTCAGATCCTCACTTTATCACCCTGGCAGAGGTCCTGAGCCCCTGGCACACACCCCTAGTGAGGCTGTGCCTGCCAGTGCTGTCCTGCTCAGGACCAAACAGGAGCCAGGCATGGGATGGCACTGAAAAAGGGCTCGTTTCCCAGGACATGACTTCGAGACATCACTGCCTTGATTTTACTTGATGCCAGCCAACCAAAACCACCTTACAGCTCCAGGGCTCAGCTGCAGCCTGTTAAAAGTAGATGTAGACCTGTCTCTGCCGGGCAACCTCCTTCCTAAAAAGGTACCAGCTCCCCCATTAGTCAGAGACCTGGAAATGCCATGGGCTTTTCTTTACCTTGGCTGAGTCCCGCACATGCAGGATTACAAAGTGAGCCAGTCAGGCACATCAGGGTGTTAATATAACATGGGGAGAGAGAAGAGGGCAGAAGAGTCTTACCTGAGAAGCCCTAGGTCTTTTTCCTCTAGGTAGGGCCATGTGCTCCCTCCTTTTACTTCTCCATGCTCTACTCTTTCATCTCGGCTAATCTTCTTGTCCTGCGCTGATTTTAACCCAGCTTCCTAAAGACACTCAGGAAAGCTTACAGTGTGTGTTATGCTTACTCATTCATTAGACATGGGTAACAGGAAAAGCCTCGGCTGGAGCTCACACCTTACTAGACATAAGAGAAGCCACCTGATTTCCTCTGTGCTGCTGCTCCCTGCAGTCCTGCCCTCTCACTGGTTTTCCTTTTCTCTCCTCCCACTCCCACCTCTCTTCTCTGAGCACTTGATGAATTTTCTATGCCTGTCTCACCCCCTGGCACTGGCTCCAAGTTTCCAGATGTACCTTCTGCTTTGCTAAGTTGTCACAGTGCTCAGCTATGGCCTGGAGAAGATTTTACACTGCAGCCAAGGGTATATTTCTACATCTGCAAGGTGGAAAACTGAGAAAGACCACAGAAACCTTCCCTCCAGAGCATTAAACCACTTGCAAACAGGATGTCAACACCTTGCACAGCCTGATGCCTGTGTAAAATAAATGACATGCTCTTCTTGGGTAGCTTTGCATGAGTGATGGGGTCCCTGTTGCAGATGACTCAAGAATCACAATCTGATTTTTGAAAGCCTGGGTCACTTTTACCACCTTTCTTCTCTGAGACTCACTTGTGAGCCTCTGGCTGGAGCTAACCCATGGTGGCTTGTATTAGAAATTTTGTGACCAGCAGAAGAAGGGAGGTGGTTGTCCCTCTGTGCTCAGCACTGGTGAGGCCGCACCTTGAGTATTGTGTTCAGTTTTGGGCACTTCAGTATAAGAGAGATCTCGAGGTGTTGGAGCAAGTGCAGAGGAGGGCAACAAAGCTGGTGAAGGGCCTGGAGAACAGACCTTGTGAGGAGCGATTGAGGGAGCTGGGTCTGTTCAGTTTGACAAAGAGGAGGCTGAGGGGGGATCTCATCATGCTCTTCAATTACTTGAAAGGACATTGTAGAGAGGTTGGTGCTGGTCTCTTCTCACAGGTAATGAGGGACAGAACCAGGGGGAATGGTTTCAAGTTGCAACAGGGCAAGTTTAGGCTGGACATTAGGAAGAAATTCTTCACAGAAAGAGTGGTCAGACCCTGGAACAGACTGCCTGGGGAGGGGGTTGAGTCGCCATCCCTGGATGTGTTCAAGTGTCGCTTAGATGTGGTGTTGGGTGATATGGTTTAGGGGTGAACTTGTAGTGTAGGGTCAATGGTTGGACTCGATGATCCCAAGGGTCTTTTCCAACATGAATTGTTCTATGATTCTATGATATGATTCTATGAAGAGACACCTCTTAGGCTGCGAGGTAGGTATGAGGGCGAAGGGGTTCTTGCAGGTCTTGCTGGGGTCATTGGAGACTTCGGGGTCCCCTGGAGTACAGTTACCTCCTGGGCTGGAGGTGAGAGGAGACAGCATCCCACTTTTCACCTGGGTTTTTGACCCTGTAGTCTAGGGTGCAGATGGAAGTGCAGGTCTTTTTCCCTCCAACTGAATGACCTCTGCTGTGGTGGAGCTGTGGGGTTCGTTTTCCTTCGGTTTTGGTGGCTGTTGCCTAAAACCATGGCTACTCATGAAGCTCATGGTCTCCCTCCACCCGCTGGAGAGACTTAACTTGATGGCACAACCCCCAGCCCTGCTCCTCTAAGTAAAGGAAGACTTGCCTGTGTCTTCTGAGATGGCTTCATGGTGGAAGCACAAGTGACTATGGAGAGAGTTGAGTGTCTGCCCCACCCATGTATCACATGCATGGCAGAGAAGAAAAATTCAACAATTGTTTGTGCGGTGTGAACAAAAAAAGGCTACAGTGTCCAGTGCAGAGGAAGCACAGCCTATAATCTCTTTGTTATGTTCACCCTGGGCTTGACCACGTGTTGCTATTGACCATAAAAATACCCATTTCCTTTCTAAATTGAGCTACAACACTTGACTTTTTGGCCTTAGGTGATAATGCAATGCTTAGACATCCTGTAACTCTTCTTCCTGGTTTGTTCCAGCACAAATGATCCAAGGTTTTTGATTCAATAAAACAAGTAAAGCCAAGGAGTCAAATATCTTTACTTGCAGTGTGTCATCTGGTTAACAGAAATCTGTCTGTCACATATGGAGTTCTTGGTATGTGTGAAGGGCTAAAGTGGACTTCACAAAAGGGGAAAGACCATTTCTTCAACTCCAGTATAATTATTCAGGAAATGACTTCTTGTTTAAAACGGGTATTGTACACTTACAGCACATACAATTTGTCCCTTGGAACCATAAAACAAGTGGACTGAGCCTGACTCATCTTAAATTAGCACTAGGACCTACTAGCAGTGAGTTCACGGGGCAAAGGAGCTGGGTTGTGAAGATGGAGATGAGCAGACAAGGTTTGCTGATGATTTGATGAAAAGGTCTCTGTAATCGTGGCCACACAGCTGTTCCCCAGGTGTTCACGCTGCATTGGAGGATGACTTCTGATGGCTCACACAAATGCTTAGGTGGAAACATCATCTTCCACCACGAGGAGCAAAGCTGCCTGTGGATCTGCTGTGAAAGGCAGTTCCAGATCAGGTGGTCCTAATACTGCTTCAATGTGCCATCTGTGCCTTATTTGTTCATCCTCCACACCCCCCCAACCAATCAGCAACTGCTGATGGGAGACCACCCTGCAGCCTGATGTGGGCATTCCCACCGGAGCTGTGGGTCAGGGATGCATCAGAAAGGATGGACATTTGAGCCATTTGGACATTTGATGGCATTTGAGCCCTCCTGGTGCTAAGTGTGGAGCGGGACCCACCGTGGGGCTGGCATGATGTGCTGATGCTGCACCAGGAGCTTGTGCTGTGAAGGGCTCAGCAACGCAAGAAAGGGCTTTTTTGGGGTGGGTTTTTGTTTGCTTTTTTTTTTTTTTTGGTATTTTGATATATATACACACACACATATATATATTTAATCCCCTCCCGACCAGCCCACCAGCTGGGTGGCAGGAGCCACCAGATTTGCGGGGAAGGAGGGACATCTCGTGGCCA